CCCACACCCACACCCTATTTAATATGTCTCCTCAAATAAAATACCATCTAAGGCATTTCTTTGCTAATTATTAAAATTTGCACAAATAATAACACGATGAGTAATGAATAAAAGTGGAGGTAAAGTAGGATTCGTTTATGTGTACTTTCGGGTAAATCAGCTAAATTAACTTCCAAGTTCGTTTTTAATGCGTGTGAATGCTTCTACCAGAGTCGATTTTAAATTATGTTCAGTAACAGTAAATCGCGAGAATCCTTTGCTATCGTAGACCGTTATATGATCGTCAATGAGAGTTATAGCTGTCCCTTGTATTACTGCAGCATATGCGACCAGCGGTGCTAAATCAAGATTTCGCGTCTCTAAAAATACTTTGAGGAAGTGATCTGATGGCACGCTTTTTAATACCAACTTTTCTTTCTTCATAAATCCCAATAATCGTGAAAGCATTGTCGGATTCAACTGTCTGATTGCATGATACGAGGAAATCGTTCTATCCAAAGCCTCCAACACAGCGCAGCCAACGATATTCCTTTCTTCTTGCGTAGCCGCATTCATCAAAGCAATGATGATTTCGTTCGTTGTTGCATCTTGACCAATCTCTCCAAGAGCGTCGAAAGCTCGGATTTTTACCATATCATCCTCCTCGTCGTGACATACACGGCTGAGATGAATAATAACTTCATTTGTTTTTCCGTGACTTGCGATATTTATTAGCGCTTCATTGGCTTCTTTTTGCATAAAGTCATTTCCATGCCGAAGAGCATCGATCAAATTAGTGATAACATTACTGGTAGCTGATTTCGCTGCAATTTTTCCAAGGACTACGCATACCTTCCAACTGACATACGAATCTTTATCGTCTACGGCACCCAAGATACCTTTTATAAGCTTATCTGTTACGACATGTTCAGATATTTTCTCAAGAACTAAACAGGCTCCTTTTCGAATACCTAGGTCTCGATGTTGAAGTGCTTTGATGAGACCATCAATGACTCGGTTTGTTGTCGTGTCTCTACCGAACTTCACAAGAGCTTCACAGGCTCTCAAATTTACCCATGAATCTTCATCTTCAATCATTCTAGTAAGACCATCAATAACATGGTTCGTCGCTGCTTTGCTTCCAATTCTTCCGAGAGTTGCACAGACTCCAGCTCGAATAGAAGAGTTTTCATTCCTGAACGCACTGACGAAATCAGTGATGATCTCGTTTGTCATTGTATTTTCACCGATTCTGGCCAGGGCTTTACTTGCCTGCTGTCCAACATCAGATTTTTTATCTCCAAGTGCATTTATGAGACTGGTGATGACTTCTTTCGTTGCTATTTTACTACGGATTCTTCCCAGCATCATGCAAACTGCACGTCGAACACTCCAATCTTGATCTTCAAGTAATGGAATCAAACAGCTAGTAAGGTCATTTACTGCTGCTTTTTCACTAATCTTTGCAAGAGTATCACATGCTTGGAATTTAACCCGCGGATTTTTATCTCGAAAAAGTTTCAGGAGGCCATCAACGACCTCAACAACTGCTGCTTTTTCACGCATTGCTCCAAGACCAACACATGCTTCATATCGTACTAATGGATTACTATGCTTAAGTGTATTTACCAAACTACTGACGATCTTATTAGTTGCTTTCTTTGCACCGATCTTCCCAAGCGCTTTACTAGCTTCAAGTTGTACTTTTGGATCCTGATCATTAAGTGATTCCATGATATGTTTGACGACCTCATCTGTTGTTGCATTTTCGCCAATTCTTCCAATACTTATAAAAACTTCACATCGGACGTTTGCATCTCCATGCTGTAGTACACTCATCAAACTACTAATAATCTTATCTGTTTCTCTCTTTTCACCAATCTTTCCAAGTGCTTGGCTAGCTTCACGTTGCACTTTTGAATCTGGATCATGTAGTGCTTCGATGAGACAGTGTATCATCTTATCTGTTGGTATGTTCTCAGCAATTCTTCCGACGGCTTTACAAGCATGATACCTGGCATCGGCATCTTTATGCTTAAGTGCATTTGTCAAGCCGTTGATGACCTTGTCAGTTGGTTTCTTTTCACCAATCTTTCCAAGTGCTTTGATGAATTCACATTGGACCTCTGCCTCTTGATCATTTATTGACTCAACGACATACTGGATGACCTCATTTGTTATTGCATTTGCACTAATTTTTCCAACTATCTTGCAGGCTTGACATCTGATATGAGATGATTTATCCTGAAGCATATGAACCAGAACATTGGCAATGTCATCTGTTACGACTGTTTCATTGATATTTTGAAGGGCAGCAGCTGCTATGCTACTAACCTGCATATCTTCATGCTGAAGTGCAGATAGAATTTCTGAAACAAGTTGTCGCGTTGGGTTCAGTACGGCCATTTGTGATAGAAGTTCAAGGGTTCTGAGTTTTTTCGATTTATTGCCGCTCCTCAAAAATTCGATGAATTTCTCTTGTAAGATAGGATGGTTTAGCAGTGATCGCCGTGGTGAAACCAGGTGTTGAATATTTCCTCTGATTACTCGTACTTCCGACTTAGCGTAGATGTCTAACCAGAAGCAGTAGGATTTAAAGAACGCATCTTGTTGCGTGAAGTCTACATGATGTTCGAGCTCTTCAGTGCATCTAACCATGATTTTTGTATGCTGCAAACCAAGAAGATCCAATGGTTCTGCCTGCATAGTTGACCAGAAAATGTCGATACACGGAAAATAGTTTGATTGAGTTAGAAGACCAGCTGCAAAAACAAAAACTGGGAGAAAACGTAAATTATACTTGTTCTCTCGAATAAAATCAATAGCTTTTTGTTTGTTGGAATTTTGAAGTGTTTTGAGCAAATATCGTGCTGCGAAGTGTTCTTGAAAACTAAGATGAACAAAATAATGTTGTATGTCCGGCTGTACTCGAGTGCCCGTTGGTTTATCATCATATGACTTAAGTATGCCGATGTTGAATATTTGCGGGTTACCACTTAGTGAGAAACCAGTTTCTCGTTCAGTCTCTTTAAAAAGAGTTGAAGTCAAAATGATTTGATTTGATTCCATTGCTTTGAAGGCTAAGCTTTCCAAAAATCGTAACTCGGTCTCACATATTAGATAGACTTCTTCTTTATTCTTCAGTCTATGAAATATTTTTCTTCTCGTTAGATGTCGTCGACATTGCCACTCCACGATTTTGTCGTACAATTTAGTGGCTGTTAATTGTTTCATATCTGAGCAGTCATTATCAATCCACAGACTGCAAATGAATTCAAGGTTCACAGGGATGTGCGCAATACCGAAAATGTTAGAATTCAACTTCAGAAAGTTGATAAGACTTTCAGTTTTTCCTCTAGCATCATCTATGTCTTCTTTCATCAAATCAAAGAAGTGCTCCACATAATTGATAATATTATCATTAGTAAATCCTGTTATTTCCAGTCTGACATCATATGACAGGGTAACTGCATGCGGACGGGATGTTAATATATGATGTTGTGTTTTAGATACATATGCAAAAAATTCTTTTAATTGATTCGGCATCTGGTGGACAACTTCATCGTAGCCGTCTAATATCCAGAGTACTTGGCCATTATTACACTTTTCGTCAAAATACTGCTTATCATTCTGTGACATATCTTCGAACAACGAATATTCCTTCTGGATAACATCGATCGGTGAATATTCTTTTCCTGGTGGATAGCGGCTGCTTGTCAACGAACGTAACGAAATGAGTATAAGTAAATCATATTCTCGCCAAAGTTTTTCTTTCGCCCATTGGTACGTAACATATCGACAAAAAGTTGATTTTCCCACTCCAGCTTGTCCAAGCACTAGTACGCTCTTTGTTGGATTCGTGCACCTTTTGAAAGTATCTTCAGGATGAATCGATATATTGTCATCGTAAAATTCTTCGTAGGCATGGATCATTTCAGAATGATGGTATTTGGTATAGTAAGTTGACCCATCACGTACTGGTCTATTATTCTCTTCTTGTTCTTTGAGTTTCTTTTCACTTTTTAGTTGTTTTGAAGATTCCACTATCGCCAAAGTGATGTAACTCTGCCACAATGGAAAGCTCTGTTCCTCATTTAGAATACATTGAATGCTATTGTCGCGTAGATACTTTACTCGGATAGCTTGGAACAATTTTTCAAGTGGAGAATGTGTATCTGCAGTAGAAGCACTGAAATAAATAAAAAAAGAATAATCAAATGTCATCATGAATTTCCTGCAAGACGTCTGGAGCGAATCATATTTATATAAAGTGTTTGCGACAGTTGAGGACAACCAGGATTAATTCTCGAATGATCATATGAGGCGTGGCTCTTAAAAACTGATGAGTAGGATGCTATAAAGCTCGCACAAGATGTAGATCAGTCAATTGTTAAAGATCTAGTATTAGTAATGTGGTTCGGTTTCCATCATTTTTGAACTAAACTGTACAGACTGGTCTTTCAAAGTATCCGAACCGCACCAATCCTTTTGCTACTGAACATTTCAAGAACTCATTCAGAATATCAATCAATTGTTTTGAATATGTTCATTCAGCGGCACAAATATTTTGTGAACTAGTCGACATATTCAAATTGATTGCATCGGAGCCGCTCAAAAGCACACATGCCCAGTTTTTTTTTCTAGCACGAACAATTCTTATCAAATCTAGAAACTTCTTTCAACTATGCATTTTTTCTTACTATTTCTGGTGTTATTTCTAAGAAGTGTACTCGCCTGTAAGACTCAATATCTTACAGTAAACTTTGGTACACACGAGTTTATGGAGTGTACGAAAATTTCATACTTTTACAACAAAGATCAGAAATTCATCTTAAGAAAGCAAAATATAACGAGACAATGATATGATACACTGATCACTGTGAAATGTTGTTAAAAATATTCGTACAATAGAAAAGGTCAGTTTAGAAAATATTTTGCGGTTGCTTTAAATCTCCAACTTAGAGCATCCTACAAACGGATTTGTATTTTACATGCTACTGATGATTTTATCTGTTGTAAAATTGTCGTGAAAAAAAGAATTAGCCAGTTCATTTGATCTATCCTCACTTCATTTTCATTTCAGTTCTTAACCATCGCTACTCTAACTGGAATAGCAGGTATGTACAACATAGTATGCCATTAAAATGAGTAGTGCAGTCAAGCATTTATGATATGACTCAGGATAACTAGCTATTATTGACGATCTACTTAAATAGGATACTCGATCTCTCTGACACGTCCAAGATATAGAATACTTATACTTGCTATTGGATTATTACTTGGTACGATTTTTTATTGTCACCGTTGCATTCCTAAAAACGACAGTGCGAGTAAAAGGTGACCTTAAAATGTATTAATTACTCTTGATTGCTTTGTAGCAGCATTTCAGACAGAAACTAATACATTTTTCAATATTTTCTCGGATTGAATGTTTCTGACAGAATATATTTCATAGCGTCATTGCAATATAGTAATGAAGTATAGACGATCTCTGCTCTAGAATAAGATTCGTTCCGATGTGAGACGATTGTGATTCATCCTTTAATGCCTAGCATAGCGACTCGTTATTGTATCGAATACTAGTGGCCTCCTCTTTCAGCCCAAAATTCAATCTTAACAATTCGTGATGGTCACTCTTTCTTCTTGGCAGTATGCACTGTGATTGATATCTGCGTTGTGAGTTGGAAGATAGAATTTTGAAGACTAACCTGTGTTTATCTTCTTCCTGCAAGTGAACAAGAAAGTATTGATCTTTAAAATTGAGATTTTTGGAAAGGGGCCAAATACGAGTACCAGGCATCAAAATAAGCTCCCTTTCATCTGGAAATGCTGAAAATGCAGAGATATTTTTAGCCTCTATAGCATCGATGGCAAATACAGTCCCTTTATCTCCCAGATAAAACTCTATGACTTGTAGATCTGTTGAACAAGAATTTACTGTCCACCATGTGTGTATGTCACCATCAGTAAATATAATACCATCGTCTAATGAGGCTCCCCTCCAAACTGTTCTGTTGCAGGATGGTAGCTTTTTCAGTGCACCTATGAACAATTTCAAGTAGGAAAACCATGGTGCTATTTTATGTCTATCTTGAGTTCGTAGGGCATTATTGAGAAGCTGAAATACACATTTAGGCATGGTATAAAGGTAAATTGCCGCCGATTCGTCCCACGTTAATAGATCTGAGTTTGCATTGCACTCATCCTTAGCGACGGATACATATTTCATAATATCAGGAATCAGCTCAACCAACATTGCTGTGGCTTCTTCTAACGAAACTAACGGTTCAGTTTCGTAGCCCTGGATTGGATTTAGGTCAAAATCTTGGATTCCTTCAAGAGTTTCGCTAATATAGTGGTCAGATGGTAGCTGAGCCATGTACTGCTATCACTAAGTGTAAAATATGGTCGTTTCACTTTTTTATCTATACAGAGAAAACTAAAGAATATCAAACGATAGCTGCTTAATTTGTGTGACTACAGCTATCCTCTTCATGTCAGACGAAAGTAATGTCCAATTTTCACAATTTCTTATTAATGCTCGCAAGTCGTCGGAGTCAATCTTCATTCACCTGTTATTGAGTATGAGAGCGTAAAGATTACGCTGAAAGGTTCCCTATAATTCTGCGTAGACCATAAAGGAATGTATGTCAGTTGTAGATATTTTAATCACAAAGACAACATAGTCCATTTATGCTCTCTTCTGAACTCTGAATGATGTACAGTTGTCTCCAAGGGGGAAACATCGTACTTTGATACTTTTTATACTTTACGGTACTTTACCGCACCTCAAATTACATCTTGGCACCTTAAAGTGTTTTCATATATTTAAGCTACTATAAGATACTATACATTATCTTGAAATACTTCGCAATACTTGGAGTACAATTTAATTCTTTGAACATTAAGCCATTTTGATCAAAGAAATAAAGCTTAAGTGCCTGAGCAAGTTATCTTGAATAAATGATCAATTATCATTGTTGGCATTCTACATATACGAAGACGCTGAAAGCGTAAACTTTGTTTCAGAAACGAAACAATCACTCCAATCGCCTACTTTGTTTGATTTTCAGACTTCGGTTTCTCGACAATTCTTCGAACTATCTGTATGTATAATGTTCAGTGTGTGTGTCTGCACCAGATCAAAGGTTAGAGAGTAAGGAGATACTTTCTAAAATATTCCAGAATTATCCGTACTTAACTATGGTTTTTGGAATATTCTGGAACATTCCAGAACCGCATGTATCTAACTAGACTTCCAGAATATTCTGGAAATTTCTAGAAACTTCTGCTACAAAATCCATTAAGTTTGACAAAGATGTAGCATTTAAAGTGTTCTATCTTATACTATACCTCGCGGTTAACGCTTTAGTATGTATGTACCTTTGATGGCACATTTACTGAAT